ACATACAAAAGCTCACTTCAACCATTGTATATATTACAAAAAAGAGCGATAAGAATTGTGCATAAGATGGGTTATAGGGATCACACCAATGTAGCTTTCATACTGTCTAAATTGTTAAAAATTTTTGATTTAGTGTGATACAAGACTGCTGTGTTTATGTATAAAGCCAGGAACAATTTATTAACTGGTGGAATTCAAAAACTATTTAATGAAAGAGAAGGGGGATATAATTTAAGGGGTCAGTTAAATTTTAAAATTCATGCTATACGTACAACCAAAAAAAGATTCTGTATTTCCATAAGTGGGGTAAAACTATGGAATAATTTGTGTGGACATAAAAAATAGTAATAGAATTGATGAGTTGAAACATAAATATAAAGGTATGTGTCAATCAAGATATATTCAAGAACAGGTTTAATGATTAATTAGGTGGAATATTGTGGTTGTGGTGTAAGAATGTTAACACTATGTAATAATTCTTTAGTATATTACTTGTGTGGTGTAGAAGATAATTATCTAAGAATGTAATTATGTAAGAATGTTAACAATCTGTAATAATTTTTTAGTATATTACTTGCATGGTGTAGAACAAAATTATCTATGTAGAGATACTGCTTTCAAACCAATGATGGTAAGATGATGTTATGGGGTAGGACTAGATAAGTCTAACTTCTTCCTACTCTGTTCAAGCATGTACTAGGTATAAGCAAATTGATAATGGATTAGCATTTGTGAATATGTGTGAAATTATGTGTGTTGACATATCAACTGTCTTTACATGCTTGAAAGAATAAAATCAATCAATCAATCAGTAACATTATAATGTTTGGCTTTTGAGAAATTAAGTTTGATTTATTGTGATGACAATCACAGTCTGTTAAACAATTAAAGGTAAGCTGAGGGTTCCATATCGTTAGCTACACAGTTCATTTAAAGTGTTAATGACATGAAGACAGCTGTCAGTTTGTGAATAGAACCTGAAATATACGGGTGTTCTGTACATTACTGTGATGAGTGTAAATTTTTTAAACTATTTGAAGGCCAAGCCATGAACTATGAATGGTCACTTCTTGTATTGTTATTGGTCACACTTTGAACATTACATATTCAGGAAATATGCCAATTGTTCTTAGTGAGAATGATTATAATGTATCTTTAAAGTCTTGAGCATTATAAAACAGCACTAAATGTACTATAAAATGTAGCTTATGAATATTCATAGGCTATAATTCTTTTAATAGTATTTAACACCTTTTCTACTGGCAAATCCTTCAATATTTGAATGGTTTCTGTAGCTGAAAGTTCTGTACAACTGTATGTGTGCATGTATTATGCACACAAGTTAATTATCTTAAGAGGTGGAGGGCTCATAAGTAATGCTCAAAAGGTGAAAGGTAAATAGAATATTGACAAAACAAGAAGCAGAAAAAAATATCAAAATATTGATAGAATAAACTGTTTAATCATTGGTCGAGTTATGTGACCACACGCTGAGAAAGAAATGTGACGAGATAAGGCCACATCCCTCCCTCGCCTCATTGGCAAAGTAATCTGGATGACTGCTGATGCCGTGAGTGCTATAGAAAACAGCCTAGCTGGAAAGCGCGAGCTCGTTAGAATGACGATCGTTGTAGGGAAGAGATATACAATGCAACGAAACTCTTCTGCAGCCAAACTGCGTAACAGGATGGAGTGAACTGGCCATGTCAGCGTGTCTGAGCCTCTCTTAAATATACAGCTGATGATAATCAGCTGTGCACTCCGCTGACAGTGTCTGCATGGAGAGACAGGGAGCGAGAGACGGAGCGAGAGACGCGGCGACGAGCAAACGTGACATCTGCAGTCACTTTCATCGATATACAGCACCCTGTTGTGTTATTCCACTGATATTATGTCAATATATTAAATTGAAGGAGCTAAATGTTTAAAATGTATGAAGTTAAGAAAAGTTCTGAATATTACTATGAATGCCCTTGACGAGCTGAACATTTTGATAGCTGAAATAGCTGTAAGTATGCTGAAGTAAAAGTTTCACATTCATTTGAATGGGGCAAGATTTTCAAAATAAAGCTAAATATTTAAAATTTATGAAGTTTAGAAAACTTCGGAATAGTAGTATGAATGCCCTGGAAGAGCTGAACATTTTGACAGTTGAAATAGCTGAAAGTTTGCTGAAGTAGAATTTTCCCATTCATTTGAATTGGGCTTTATTTTCAAAATAAAGCTGAATATTTAAAAAGTATGAAGTTTTGAAAAATTCTGAATAGTAGTATGAATGTCCTTGAAGAGCTGAACATTTTGATAGCTGAAATAGCTGAAAGTCTGCTGAAGTAGAATTTTCCCATTCATTTGAATGGGGCAAGATTTTCAAAATAAAGCTGAATATTTAAAATGTTTGAAGTTTTCAAAAGATCTGATTAGTAGTATGAATGTCCTTGAAGAGCCGAACATTCTGATAGCTGAAGGTTTGCTGAAGTAGAATTTTCCCATTCATTTGAATGGGGCATGATTTTCAAAATAAAGCTGAATATTTAAAATGTATGAAGTGTTTGCCGAAGTAGAATTTTCCCATTCATTTGAATGGGGCAAGATTTTCAAAATACATCAAAAATATTTAAAAAGTATGAAGTTTGGAAAGATTTTGAAGAGAACCATGAATGTCCTTGAAGAGCTGAACATTTTAATAGCTGAAATAGCTGAAAGTATGAAGAAGTAAAAATTTTCAGAATTTTCAGAATAAATCTGAATATTTTAAAAAGTATAAAAGTTACAAAAAAGTTGTATACATCCACGCATGTCCTAAAAAGGCGAACATTTTGATACCTGAATGGCTTTTCTAGCTGAAAGTATGCTGAAGTAGTTAAGTACCAAAAAACGTACGGAATAATAATAATAATAATAATAATAATAATAATAAATAAAGAAATAAATTATTGGAAAACATAGTTTGGATGTTGAATCAGCATCCATACAATAATAATGATAATAAATAAAGAAATAAATAATTGGAAAACATAGTATGGATGCTGAATCAGCATCCATAGAATAATAAAAATAAATAAGAGGATAACAATAGTGTGGTTGCTTTGCATCCACTCAATAATAATAAAGAACAGGATAACATAGTGTGGATGCTGTAAAGCATCCACACAATTATTCAGTTAAAGAGCCCTTTACTGACTTTGGAATCACATCTTTGTATTTATGACCTCGATAACTAATGACCAAAGGTATTTATCTATACACATCACATCTACATATAGAAATATTTGCTACTTTTTAAATTTTGGTTTTTACCCAGACTCCAAATTTCAGCTGTCAAAAAACTTCAGTACATTATCATAAATTTGTCTTTGCAGCTCTGAGTATCATAAAACAGAGACTGTGGGCACACTCACCTAGGAGTGCTGAGAGTATGGATATCTCAAGAACAGGAAGGCAAAGTACAGACATTAGGCTTGGTTTTGCTTTAGCTTTAAATTGATGATTTGCCATATTCTTTTTCAGCAGTTAGGATATTTATGATCACAATTAGTTTTGAAGCATGAAAGCATGTGACTCTCTACGTGACCTTTGAATGAGTGCAGGACGCAATTTTCTTTCCACAAGCCATACTGCCTGCTTAACCAGTAATTCAGCAGCCTCATAGACACACACCTTGTGAGGAACTGTTGGAAAACCAAATGTTTGATGGCTGGTTACCTTTCAAAGTATTTGGAAGGGTCGACAAACTTACCCTGCACAAGTAAATATTTACCCATGTTAGTCTGGTATGACATGGGCAGCAGCATGGTGCAGTGATTATGGAAACTGTCCCAAAACTAGAAAGCCATGATTCAATCCTGGTAAGCACACCCATCAGCCCTTGTGAAGGACTTTTGAGCTCCACTCTGAATTCCTCATACATCAATACTTATATTAATAAACTTTCACTGGAAATAATTTCATATCTCTTAAAACATACAGAATGAGAATTGTGACATTGAATTTAAGCTTTTGCTCTGTTTTGCGTTATAGGCTCACTCCCTAACCCACAGACGAGCTGTTCCTGGTCGAAGGAAACATTTTGACATCCTCCTGGCCGAACACAAGGGCCAGGCAAAGGAGAAGGAAGGAGCCAAGGAGAAGGAGAGAGACAGGGGTGGAGTGCAGGGAGGGAAGGAAGGCTGCAGCCAGAGCATCACAATGCACAAGAGTCCCAGCAAGTCTCATTGCCCTAATGGACGACCCCTGTCCATGCTGAAGCTAAGGCTGGCAAATGCGCACATACCCAGGTAGGACAGGGCCAGTACACACACACACAGTATTAAGTATGTATGTGTACATGGAAGCAAAGAATGGACATCAAAAATTCAATGTTATAAGCTTCTTACTGGTGGAATTTAAGTGCTGTAGGTCAGACAGAGGAGTTCAAGGTGGAGGTGGGGCTACATCAAGGATCGGCTTTGAGTCCCTTCTTGTTTGCTATGGTGATGGACAGGTTGACAGATGAGGTCAGACAGGAATCTCTGTGGACAATGATGTTTGCGGATGACATTGTGATCTGTAGTGAGAGCAGAGAGCAGGTGGAGGAACACCTGGAATGGTGGAGGTCTGCTCTGGAAAGAAGAGGAATTAAAGTCAGTCGTGGTAAGACAGAATAAATGTGTATGAACGAGAGGGAGGGAAGTGGAACAGTGAGGTTACAGGGGGCTGAGGTCAAGAAGGTGCAGGAGTTTAAGTATTTGGGGTCAACAGTCCAGTGTGATGGGGAGTGTAGGAAAGAGGGGAAGAGGCGAGTGCAGGCGGGTTGGAGTGGGTGGAGAAAGGTGTCAGGAGTGTTGTGTGACAGAAGAGTGTCAGCAAGAATCCAAGGAAAGGTGTACAAGACAGTAGTGAGACCAGCTATGCTGTATGGGTTAGAGACTGTAGCAGTGAGGAAAAGACAAGAGGCAGAGATGGAGGTAGCAGAGATGAGGATGTTGAGGTTCTCTTTAGGAGTGACCAGGATGGACAGGATTAGGAATGAGCACATCAGAGGGACAGCTCAGGTTGGCTGTTTTGGGGACAAGGTCAGAGAGGCCAGATTGGCAGAGAGGAAGGCCAAAAAGGAGATACAGTATATGGATGTGCTAAAAGAGGACATGAAGTTAATTGGTGTGAAAGTAGAGGATGCCGAGGATAGAGTTATGTGGAAACAGATGATTCTCTGTGGCGACCCCTAATGGGAACAGCCGAAAGCAGAAGACTGGTGGCATTTAAGTAACATTACATTTATATTACTGTTATACTTTTTACTTTGAAAACCATCTGTCTGAATTCATGTGGTATAAATTCCCATTTTTAAAAGTTTCAGTGTTGCAGTTTCAAGGTCCTTGTTATTTTTCCCCCCTCTGATTTTTGTCTTCAAAATTAAGGTGTCCAATATGCAAAAAACTAAAGGTCACCTTGTGAAAAACATGGTTAAATTTGGTTGGTGAAAATAAGATGCCAAAATACAAGATAAGAAAATTCAACCCTGACCTTTTGTGCTACCAAGGATTAATCAGTCATCAGTTCAGTTGAGATATATTCTATCAGTCAGATGAGTCTAAACTTCCTAAACTACAAGAGGAAGTAGTGTCCTTGGTGCCCATATTTTTCAAATTATTTACAAATAGGGAAATTTCAGACCACATAAATCGATTAAAAGCTATAGCTTTGGAACACATTTAGTATTTTTTACATTCTATATTTTTTATGGAAGTGTCCCTGGTAGGCTAGTGGTTAAGGCGCAGCACTCTCGCCACTGTACCCCGGGTTTGAATCAGGGTTGCCTCAGGAAGGACATCCGACGTAAAACACGTGCCATATGTCAGCATGTGAGTCGTCAGTGTGACAGTTCGCTGTGGCGACCCCTAAATGGGAAAAGCTGAAAGTGACTTTCTTTCTTTATTTTTTATGGAAGTTATTTAAATAGGTGTTATTTGCATATTTATACCCAGTTATTTAAGACTTTTACTTTGATAGGTTGGTATTGGTATTTTTCAGCAGTTTCTTTTTACATTTACTTAATTATGACTTGAAGTTTTTTTCCACATCAACTGTACTGGACTGAGGCAGATACATATAGGAATCCTTGTCCATTCCTGTATTTCCCACCAGGGGATGCTGTAAGCAAGACTGCCAGAAAGAAGAGATAGTAGTAAAATAGTGTCTGCTGTTCAGAAAAACTCATTTCCTCTTTCTATTTTGAAGATGATCATCTGTCTGAAAAAAGAAAAAAATTTGGGGTTTTGTCACTGCATGAAACATTTAAAATGACAATGATTGCAGTGTATTGGTAGATATAATGTGCTTCATTGTGTACTGTCATTCTGTCTCTTGTTTTTCTTTCTTCCTCTTTCTTTTCCTTGGATCTTCTTAATCTCTCACTTTTTAAAATTATTTTTCCTGTCCCAGTCTTCTGCCTTTCTCACTCTTCTTCCCACCAGTCTTCTTCTATGCTTACCCCTCTTTCACTTCTCCTCTTTTTGGTAAATGGTCATGGTGTTATATAGTATTTTTCTACACGCTGATGTGTACTCAAAGCGCTCTACACGATTTCCCATACACCCATTTGCACACACACTCACGCATTCACACACCTGTGACATCACCGGGAACAGCTAGGGGTCTATTTTGACATGTGGACTGGAGAAGGCGGACAGCAAACTGCCAACCCTATGGTTAAGGGACGACCCACTCTATCTGCTCCCATTTGGTCCCTTCTTTTTTTCAAGTCTCTCCTCCCTTGCTGTGTCTCTCCATATTCTGTTATTAATGTTTCCTCATTTCCTCTCCCCTCTTCATCTTCCCATTTCTATTCCTTTGTCTGAACCTCCACTTCCGTCTCTATCTTGCTTTTATTTTTCTGCTTCGTTTTATTGTCTGTGATTTCACTTATTTACCTCTTTCCCAGTGTGTCTCCTCATTTTATTCACCCCTCTGTCTTTCAAATATTCCACTCCAGGGTCCCTGGCAGTTCTACCACCTCCACCTCAAGTCCTTTGCCTCCAGCACCTGTCCCTGCCACACCCCCTAACCCAGAGTCATCCCCTCACAGTTGGGTGATGGCAGTGGGAGACAGTGGCCAGCTTTCCAGTGACGAGGGAGACGCAGAGACTCCAGAGGACACTGACAGACCTGCCATACACTACTCCAGTCACCACCCACAGCCTTTAGGGGTAAGTGCTATGTCTAGAAAAACTGCACAAATAGATATTTTTATAGCCCATAACCTCAGAGCTTTAAAAACTCATTCACGCAACTTTAAAGTATTTTACACCTTTACCCTACAGGGTCTGCTTTTATATGCTATTAAGAGGAGTGGTTTTTGTTGGTGTTCATCTTTGCCCATAGCTTTCATTAAAAAAAGAAGGGTAAGGACTGTGTGTTAGTTTGATATCAGAATCAGTGCAGTTGAGAAGGAAAATGGCTAGTCTGGCTCCATCCAAATTTTGATTCCCAGCAACTCTACAACTCCCTAATCAACACTTAATATCTTTTTTTTGTTTAATGCATACAAAATATAAAAATAGGTTTTGGTTTTATGGTGGGGTTATGTGCTGTAATCCTTCTTGGAGTAGTGGCTTCATGAAGTTTCAGCGTTGCAGATAGGTTGCAAGGCAACTGGTGAAGAATACAGACTGTTTTCCAAAAATGTCAAACAAATTTTTTAAGAACAACAAGGCAGTGCCCATGATATAATTAAAACATATAGACAGTTGTTTTGTATATAAACAATTGATTCAACCATGTTTACATTTCCATTGATGTGTTTTGTGTAGTTTAAATAAATCAGTAGGAAATATTTGTCAAACAGATTTCTTCAGGCCAAAATTGACCACCTCTGGTAAGAAGCTGTTTTTGAGACCCAAAAGGTGATCTCTGGAAGGCTACATGACTCAATTTCCTATCTACTTTAATTGTGCATTTTTAGACTGTCAATAAACCAATAAAATCCCGAGTTTTACCTACCCACTGTACCAAGAGTGGATAGTCATGGCTTCATTTAAAACTAAAAAGAGTTCTTGGTTGGATATTATCATATCAGTTTAGAGAATAGACTAATTTCCAGTTTCTTTGTTTTTTGAGATTTCTAAAGTTCTAGGAGATTTTAGCATTGCTTGTGGTAGACCATCTTTCATATGTGTTGATTTCTCTTTTTGTTGTCTCTTTTTCATCTCTGTTTGTCATTTGTTGTCACTTTCACTATACATCCTGCTTTGTTTCTGCTCTACTTTTACTTACTCTCACTCGCTCACTCTGTCACCTCTTCATTCAACACATTTTTTTTTTTTTTTTTACCCTTCACATCCCATCTCTCCCCATGGCTCATTGCACTTCCCTTCTCTGTCCATCTTTCTTCCACTCCCTACCACTCTTCCTCTCTCCAGTTTTGCATATTTAACAGCAGGCTTATGGGACGGGGCCACTATGTATTTGACAGACGATGGGACAGGATGAGGCTGGCGCTTCAGAGTATGGTGGAGAAACATCTTAATGCACAGATGTGGAGGTGAGTATGCATATACTCCCAGAGATTAGATTTTCTTTGATGGGATAGAGCATTTTCACCTACAAATCAAAGTGCAAATGTACACAACCCACAAAATTTAGCTCTAATCTATAAGCACATGACTAACTGTGTGAAAGCATGTACAAATCAAATTGTCATGGAACCTTTTTGTGTGAGAAAAATGAGATTCAATAAAAAAGCATGGGAGGGGCATTAGTAGATAACAGGTTAAAGATGCTGAATTAAAGGAAAACATTGTTCAGTGAAATACATTTTATTGATTGGTAGATACTGTAAATTTTAATAGTCTGAGTCTATGTTGGCAGTGAAACTGCATTGTTTTGAAAATGTTGTCTGTGTTCCAGGAAGGTGCCTCTGGCTGCTGAGAGCATCCTCTCCCTCTCCTCCTCTGGTACCTCCCCTATCACCTCACAAGAGACTCCCTCTCCCACCTTGTCAACCTCTCCTCTCCTTTCCTCCCCCTCCAACTTGCTTTCCTACAGTGCCACGTTCCCTCAATCTGCATCCACAGCTGGGGTGTTCAGCATCAGAGATCCCCCGCAGCCTCTCATCCCTGTTTCCACACCGGGTAAAGCCCGTAATGGCACGCATAAAGCCAGCTGCCCATCCAAAGACATTCAGGACTCTGTAGTGGGATCAAAAAAGAGAAAAAACTCTTCCTACTCTTCCTCGTCTCTTTCCTCTTCTTCTTTGTCTTCTTCCTTGTTTCCGATTGTGGATAATCACAAGAGGAACGGCAGCAGCTACCATCCAGCATTACAAGATTCAGGTGGGACCGCTGCCCCCCCAGCCAGGAAGAGGGGACTTGGGTGCGGGGGAAGCGGGCTTTGGCACAGCAGAGATGACTGGCTATCTAGATCTGATGGATCTCAAAGCCACAACTCACAGAAAAGGTGCAGTGCAGTTTATTTGAAATGTTAACATTAGTAGAAATAAAATTGCTTCTTGATGACATGTTAAAGCTGTTATTTTGGCCTTTCTATGCAGGATTGAATGACAAGATTTCTTTAAAAGTTTTGGTAATACCAACTTGTGCAGGATACAGTCACTGTTAAAAATGTGCTGTTTTCCAGAAGGTGACAGTTTTCTTTCAAGCTTATATTCTTGAGAAGATACTGAAGATGCTCTATTCTCTCATAAGTCGCTAATAGAATTTGCTTAATTTATAATACAATGCACTCAAATAAAAGGCTTTCAAAATATGTATTATCTTTTTTGGTCTAACGAACAATTTTGATTGTAGCCACGGTTACAAACAGCGCAGTGCAGGTGCAGTTCAACACATGACACAGTACAGTATGTAGAGAAGCACATTAGAGGGGGGTTCATTAAGCATACAGCAGTGTGTAAACAGGAAGGTCAGTGCATAGGCTGTGTTAATGTGTTTGGCTTCACAGGGAATATACAGCAATATACAGGGAAAATCAGCTGTGATAATTTTATGCTCATCTAAATAAATCCTACTGTACAGTAAAGACTCAAATGCACTGTGCTATATATCATTAATTGCAAATTTCCTTCTCTTCTGGTCCTCTCCAGTAATGATTTTGGCACCACAAGTAGACCCTACTCACCCAGCAGAGAGCTGGCTTCAGCCCCCTATCAGCCCCTGGCTCCTCCCTCCGGGCCCCTGGCTTATGGGGGAGGAGCAGAGGGGAGGAAGAGGAGGAGCCCCAGTTCCTATAGAGGGAAGGCCAGCAAGCTGAACAGGCCAGAAGGGTTGGAGAGCCTCTGTGGCAAAGGGAGCAGCAGCAGCAGCAGCAGCAGGGGAATTCTGTCTTCAGGGCCGGAGTCCCAGCGACAGGTATGTGTTACATACAGGCTGTCCCTTTATTAGCAACTACTAGGAATATTTGTGAGTCTAGTTTGAAGTGCTCAATTGTGAACTGTCGAACTATATGGCCAGGTGTTAGTCTGAATGTGCTACATCTTCACAGACATTGCCTGGATGGAGCTAGATATAATTGACAGAAAGAGCAATATCAAACCAATGTTCATTTTGACAGAAAATCTTGTCATCTTGGAAAATGATAAGTGGCTCTTCTTTGCCAAGTCAGTATTTCCTAAGTCAGGAGTGAGCCCCCAGTTGTTCCTTAGGATAAACATCAAGTATAATTTGCTTTAGACATGTTAGCAGCATATCGATGGTAGTGCCTGTCTCTGAACAAATAAACAATCTTTTCTACTAACCTTACCACATATGAAACCAAGATATGTGTAGACAACCAAGATGTCAATAGCTGTAGCCTCAAACTTAGGCTTAGAAGAAACTTAGAAGAGATAAATATTAAAAATGCAGGGTATTAGTGTCTGTGCTTTTAGCCGTCCCTGGTAGGCTAGTGGTTAAGGCGCAGCGCTCTCAACGCTGCGGCCCGGGTTCGAATCAGGGTTGCGTCAGGAAGGGCATCCAGCGTAAAACACATGCCAAATGTCAACATGCGAGTCGTCAGTGTGGCGACCCCTAAACGGGAAAAGCCAAAAGTGACTTTCTTTCTAGTGTCTGTGCTTTTCTTAGAATCCCAAACCTTGGTTCATTTTTTGTTACTGAAATCTGAAACCAAAAGGGCACAGTTGATTCAGAAATATCACCAAAATAAATCTTAGATGACACGCTTGGAGGTGACTCCTAACTTGTTGTGGGATTGGTATGGTAATACAGCTGCATTTTACAAAGTCACCTAACAGCCTTACATCTATTTACAATTTTGCCATTTATGGTGTACAAGAGGGCTTGTTATGTTTCCCATGTTTTGCATTACCTGAGTTAACAACAACAGTCTTGTTTACTATAAAAGGGCATTTTACAATGTCCACTTGCTCGAGTACAAAATCTGGCCTGCTGTGCCTATACACTGAATTTTGAATTTGAACAATTTTTTTTTTGTTACATGCATGAATTAGGGATGGGCATTTCAAGCTAAAATGCTATTAGGTATTCGCTGGGAGCTACTTGACAATTATTCAAAAATTCCCCCTCCCCAAAATGTTGAGAGTCCCAGTCCAGCTGCTCCATGTTGGCTAGCACCGTATTGCTAATGTTGTCATGTATGTGGCATGATGTGACTTTACCTGCAAGTCCCTGGTGTTCTGCAGCGGTGGAAAGCACATTCAGCAGGTTTTCAGCAGTATGCCGCTCTGGCATTGCTTTAGTCTGAAGAACAGCACTCTTTATTTTTTAGTTGCTTATATAACAGCGGGTGACTATCACATACAATGGCAAGAAAGAGTATGTGAACCTTTTGGAATTTCATGGTTTTCTGCATTAATTTGTCATAAAATGTGATCTGATCTTCATCTAAGTCAAGAATACTGATGGATATAATGTGCCTAATATAACAATACAAAAAATTCTGATCTTTCATGCCTTTATTGAGAACAACCATAAAAACCTCATAGTACTAGCGGAAAAAGTATGTGAACCCTTGAGTTAATGACCTCAAAAAAGCTAATTGGAGTCCGGTGTTAGCATACCTGGAGTCTTTTTAAGAAAATGGGTTTGGAGGTGTGGACTAGAGCTACTTTGACTGATACAAACCACTCAAACCTTTTGAGTTTGCTCCACACAAGAAGAATATGCTTATGTGAGCCATGCCTTGCCAAAAAGAGCTTTCAGAAGATATACAATCAAGAATTGTTGATTTACATAAAGCTGGAAGGGGTTATAAAGTGATTTCAAAGACTCAAAATTCACCAGTCTACAGTTCAGGCAAACAATCTACAAATGGAGACACTTTGGGACTGTGGCTACTCTACCAAGAAGTGGGGTCCCCGTCAAAAT